ATCTGGAAAGTGAGTATGACAACATAAAATATCATAGCGATATTCTAATCCTGTGGAATTTATTATGACCCTCTGATATATTGACTTCCGTTGGAACATGTGGTTCACTGTTACAATTAATAGTAGACATACTTTAGTGTGACTGTTTGTATGGGAACAGTGTAGTTCTAGATTTCTAGAAATATATCACTTTTTAGACATACCAGCACAGATTGTGAAGCGAAACATTACGGCAAAAATGTGCTCTAAGCACATTCTGATTTAAACTAATGTGTGGCTTGACTGAACCTCAAAGGTCTGCGCTGTCTGACGAGAAGAGACGGTTAGAAGCGAAGATTCAACAGCTGGAGGAAGAGCTGGAGGAGGAGCAGGGCAATATGGAGATGCTCAATGACAGGCTGAGGAAGAGTGCCCAGCAGGTACATGTATTATATTATGGAGCCATGACCATCTGTGGCAGATATCAAGAAAAGTATGATACATTTGGATTTCAAAACTTTGAGAAATATAGAAATCACATATTAAATTAAGGTGTACAATGTGTAGCCATAAACACACTCATCAATGGAAATGCCATTACGGAGACTTTGTAATTTGTATGAAAACCGTGTCATTTGCTCAGCTGTTTTCTACATCCTTCAGGTTGACCAGCTAACCAACGAGCTCCAGGCCGAACGCACCACATCCCAAAAGAACGAGAGCGCCAGACAGTTGATGGAGAGACAGAATAAAGAGCTGAAAGCTAAACTCCTGGAGATGGAGAACCAAGTTAAATCCAAATTTAAGTCCTCAATTACTGCTCTTGAGGCCAAAGTGGCACAATTGGAGGAACAAGTTGAGCAGGAGAGCAGGCAAGTAGTTTATTCTAAAGCTCCCCGAGGGGCGGCAGAGAACGGTTAATAGAAATTAAAAAGATTTCACAAATTCAGTTTTTGTGAGGAAAAATATGTATTCATCTCTCCCTCATTCATAAATTGTTTGTACATGTGTTTAATGGTTGTGGCATTATTTTCTATAAATATTTATTTTGAAAAGTGCTATACAAATTTAATTTGATCTAATATTGTGTTACTGGGTTTATAAAATCAATACATTTTTAAAAGATTTTTACAATGTAAATGTTTTCCAGATAATCTTTTAATAATTAGTTTTCAATACACAAATAAATAAACAATAATTCAATAAACAAAAAGCCTTATGTTAAAAGGCTTTATAATGGTAAACAACATTTTTCAATAATAAGTATTATATTATATACTTTAACCCTTCATATTAACATAAAATACTTTAACCACCAAGTCATACATCATATCATATATTCATATACTACCACCAGTAAGATATTTATGAAAGAAATACTCTGTTAAAAAATTTAATAATAATAATAAATCAATAAATACACAAATTAATACAGCAGATGTAGACATTTATAATGTTACAATAAATAAATAAATGCTGTTTTTTATACTTGATATTAATCATCAGTCCTAAAGAAAAAATATCACAGTTTCCACAATAATATTAAGCAGCAAAACTGTTTTCAATAAGAACTTGAGCAGCAAATCAGCATATTAGAATGATTTCTGAAGGATCATGTGACACTGAAGACTGGAGTAATGATGCCGAAAATTCAGCTTTGCCATCCCAGGAATAAATAAAAAATGGTAGTGCATGTAGATCTCAGGAAGGCCAACTGAAGAAAAAAAAAAGTGATTTTGAAAACTGATTTTTTTTCTTTCTAATGCAGAGAAAAGCAAAACACAGCAAAGGCAGTTCGCCAGAAGGACAAGAAACTGAAGGATATTATGACCCAAGTGGAGGATGAACGAAAACAAGCAGAACAATACAAAGACCAGGTTAGCCATACAGCAGCTCTGTCCTCTTTCCCCATAAAATGTAGAGATCATACCAACAGTCAAAAGGAAAATGATCTTATAACTGACTGTATTGCAATGTAGTCTGTGCTTGGCCTGAAAAGTGTTTGTTTTTCACAGGCGGATAAGGCGAATGCTCGCGTCAAACAGTTGAAGAGGCAGTTGGAAGAGAGCGAGGAGGAGTCCCAGCGAATCACTGCGGCCCGCAGGAAGCTTCAGAGAGAGCTGGATGAGGCCACAGAGACCAATGATGCCATGAGCCGTGAGGTCAATACCCTCAAGAGCAAACTCAGGTACGTAGTGCACTCCAAAGACATGGCGTCTAATGTCAAAGGGGTTGAGCACAACAGGAAGTAGTGAAATCTTTGGGTAATGAATACACTTTTAGACTCAGCGCTTGTTAGCGCAGCCCAAATCCCTTCCTTTTATAAACTGCAAACCGAAGATTGTCTATCTCTGTTGCAGAGGCAATCCTGAACCCACAGTGACTATGCAGGTACCTCTGTGCTCAAAATTTGACACAGAAGATGTACTCTTCACAAATCTTTCCTTTTACTCGTCACAAATATATTTCTTGCCTGCAAGAGTGAAATATGGTTTATTACATATCTTTTAACAATCGCAGAGAGCACACATAAGACTGTTTAAGCAGTAGTGGATAAGTAGTAATGTTAGTTTACTGAAAAATCTCAATTCTGTCATTATTTACTCGCCCTCATGTCGTTCTAAACCCATAAGCCTTTCGGTCATCTTCAAAACACAAATGAAGATCCCTCTTGGAATGACATCTCTTCTCTTCTCTGATGCCGTGTACTGGCGTGAGGGCGGGACAACCTGTCACTCACTTGAGATCGACCAATAGCAAACCACAACAACCCAATCATTTCCTGATAGACTAAATCGAATTTCGCCCTACATTTTGTCTTGTGCGAGAAGCTGTTATATACACATATATCACTCGGATATATGTCACTACAGTGAAGAAAAGACTATCGCAACTTCCGTTTCATTCCAACAATAAACATACTTGTGTGACATGAAAACAAACCTTTTTGGTTTTCTCACATCAAGCATGCACATTTGAGCGTTGATGTTTATATGTGAATAAATTAAATCTGTTCATCATATAAAGCGATCACCCCTGGATTAAACCGCTCGATTTATATAGATTACTTAAACAACGGAAACAATTTATTGACCAATCAGCATCCATGACCAGAACTTTATTCAAAGAATTGTATAATTATAAAAGTAATACAATGTATCAGGTATTGTTTATAAATGCTTCCATGATTAATGGTCCCTCTAAATCCTAATTGAATGCACTTGATGGAGAGCTCATTCTTGCACAGTCTTCATTTTAATGGTTCTCAGACTAGCATATTACACCATATTTCCCTCTTCCGTCTCAAAGCATGGTTCAGTTTTCTGAACCAACCTCATTTAGCCTGTTTACAGGTTTACGAATGAGGTTTTAACGCTGCCTTTAACCTTAACAAATCTTACCCGATATCTGATACCAATTTCCACTGTAAAGGAAGCTTGTGGCTGAATTCTGGCGACTTGCCTATACATTAGTATACTGTTGTAGAAGTGACATCGCTTTTTCTCACATATGAGCTGTTACTGAAGTTTTTAACATCTTTAACATCACAATTTATGGAAGGAGAGAATTGAAATGAATCGTGCATGGTGATTTACTAACATTTGCGCTAGTCAATTTACTGGTATTTGCGCCATTATTTACCACCCCCAAAAAAGCACGTCTTAAACCAGACGCTAATTTGCGCTGCTCTTGGCAGATTGCATTGGTCATCATGGAGATGATCCGGCTGCATCGGTGTTCGATGTTTTTGGAATTGCGCACTCATGCTAACTTGCCCTATTTTTTTATTTTACAGTGAAATATTAAAATAGTAATTAGGGCCCAAGGCCTGAAAGCCCTTTTCCTAAGGATTATGTATTATTATTATTATTATTCTTTTTCTTTCAACCTTTTGGGGTTCTTAACGTGCTCGAAAACTCTTGAAACTTTGCACACGGGTCAGAACCCGCGGCCATCAGGGCCGGGCTGAAGCTGGTACCCGGGCGTGGCAGGGGGGCTCGACAGCTCAGGGCACAATTTGGCCAAAATGTTGTGATTACCGGTATATTATTTCAGTGTGGCTTCAACATAATAATTATATTATTATTCCTACTAAAAAACTAACTAACTAAAAATTTTTTTTTAAAATATATATAAATATAGCTGCGAGCAGCGATGAAAGGGCCAAAACCGGCAGCACCGCCACCCCGGTGCCTTTAGGTAACTGCCACCGGGGTGGCGGATTTTGTTTGGATTTTGTTTAATCGCATTTTAAAGCATTATAGAGCAAATTTTTTATCAGAAAAATCACAATTGATTTTGTCCCAAAATCGTGCAGCCCAACAGGTAACAGCCATCTCACAGCGAAAAGGTCCCTTGTTTGAATCCCACCTGAGCCAGGAGGCCCTTCCATGTGGAGTTTTCATGTCCTCCTTATGTTGGCATGGGAACACTTTGGGTGCTTCAGTTTGGATGGATGGATGGATGGAAGACTGCCACATTGAGCATGTACGATTGCTGTAGATCACACTTCAGGATAGTTCACTGGAAGTTCTGCAATAAAATCCTATTTAAAAAAAAAAAAAGACTTCTTATGGGCTTCCTGTGAACAGTTTGGGATTATGAAATTGGTTCCTTGGTTCAAAAGGGTTTGAGAAACTTAACTTGCTGCTTAAGGGCTAACCTACATTGAAAGTTTTGTGTTTTATGCTAAGATTTGCTGTAACTTTTCAGGCGAGGCAATGAACCGTCACCCTTCGGCAGCTCAACGAGGCGCTCTGGAGGTGGTGGCAGACGGGGAATGATTGACAGCTCTGATGCTGCAGAGGATGATGCGGACATGCAGAGTGACTACAACGGAACCAAATCTACTGAATAAATGCCTCTTACCATGCTGTCCAAACATGGTATTCTTATCCTCTTATCAAAGAACCACAATTTTCTTTTACAAAGGTCATTATTTAGATCATAATTATGTTTCGTTTGACTGCAACAAAGCACTGCTGTTTGACCAGGCATTTGCCCCATACATGATTTAATAGTTTATATTGTTATATCATTTACACAACCCCCAATTTTACATTGACCTCTGTGGCTGCAAATATGCTCATAATCCAGTATAGCACCATGAGACTTATGTATTCTTTTTTTCAGGCTCTTTAATTATTCTTAAACATCTGAATGAAACCTGGTGGTCCCAACACCTAGTTTTTACCCTCACTCAGATCTTGGGTAAAAGACCATCTGTATTTTTATGTCTCAAATTTGTATGTCTCAACTGCGGGTAAATGGCTGTTCACTGTTTTGTACTGCATAATTGTCCTTGAATATACTGCACTTTCTCATTTATTTGGTATATATATCCCTGCAATACATACAGCTCAGACAAGTTAGCAACAAAATGGATTTTTTCTAACATTAAAATGATCCGCTTTACACATCCTGGATAAAATAAATAAAGGTGTGTGTTGTGCCAGAAGTGTAATTATATATCATGTAACTATTATATTATCATACAGTCAGGTACCTCGGAAAACTGTAATTTTCTATAGCATTTTATGTTCCCTTTGAATGTTTGCTAGAAGTATTATATATAAAACAAAAAAAATTGAACAGACAAATATTGTGGTTTTCATTATCCTACAGATATTTCAATATTTGAAATGACACTGAAAGCAACCAAATTCCATCCTATTGACAGACAATGCCTGTAAAAGAACTTTGAAATTATATAAATGTATACAGTATAGACCAATTTCCAGCCGACGTCACAGTTGCGTCACGGCGCTAGCTGGTGGCAGAACAAAGGGAAAACTGGAGGCGGCAAATACAAACCAGGACAGATTCGGCTACAAAATAAGGATCTTCTTCGTATTATTAAATGTCATCTTGTTGTGTTGTTGGGTGCAAGAATCAATGAAAAGTTAATATGCTTTATCTGCAACTTTTTATTTCTAGAAAATATTCACCTCATTAAAATTGCACCGTAATGTCACTCTTTACATTGTCGTCTTCATGGTGCTGGCTAGGCAGAACTGCGGATCGTACCACACAACTTGTACATGACCATTCAGCACATAGTTATAGGCATCTAAAGATTTATATGCCCTCCGTTTCTCTATCAGGTAGGTGTAGAAGTCAGGACACTCAACCGGAGGTAGCGTTAACGTTAGTCCTGTCAGATCGTCCAGCGTATAGGCTACAGTACGGGTCGGCCAATCTGGTTCTGTCCGTTAAAATTAACTTTTGCAAATAACAATCGCGGTCCTGGACAGTGAGTGGCCTTGCACATTAAGATAAAATCGGATTTTCTCCAGTCATTGTTAAAAACAAGCTAACAAAACTTGCAGACTTTACGTTAGTGAAGCGGCCAGAGGGATCGTTCTGCCACCACCTAAGCTCCGCCCACAGAAAACGTCACCATGTTTACCAACTGAAAATTGGTCTATATAAATTTTATTTTTCCAGTAATTTCACTTGGCACAATCTACAGAACATTGGGAATTACATGTCAATGGATTAATTCACTTTTATCTACTTTTATCTATTCATTTGTGAAACCACATGCACATGAAATAAATTCTGAAAAAAAAATCTCTGTTTTTTTGTTGTTGTTTTTTAACATGTCAAAATGCCATAATTATTTTAACCTTAAAGGACACCATCAAGACTAAAATACCATAACCTTTAAATAAAACTAAAATATGTTCAAATGCTAAGTATGTCATTTCTGACATGCAACTGGGTTAAAATCACTATTTGCAGCTCAAACAGCACTCAAGGTGTTTCTCAAAACAATGGGAGCTATTATTAACAAATTTAGAAGTGGTACATTATTGGTAGAAACGTACTAGTATTTCTGCAGTACATAAAACAGTATTTATACTGTGCATATTGCACATTTTCTTTATACATAGAACATATTACTGTTTAAAGTGTTTATTGAATAATGCCCAGAATTTCACTAAACAAATAGTAGGCAGTATACAGTATTCCTAAGTAGTAAGCTAGTGTTCTAAAACAGCCTTGGTCTTTTGGACAAAACATTTGCTTCTGCTTTAATTTCAGTGCTTCTCTTGGCCGCAAGAGGGAAGATCTCTTAACTCAGTTTCTTTGCTGTTCTTGTAAATCAACACATTCATTGAAAAATAGTGACAGTTGTTGCTCAGTCTTCAGATAAATGAATGCACACTACTACAACTACTTTTTTGTCATTACATTATAAAACACAACATCTATGACCTTTACCTCCCTCATTTCCAGTTGGTAGTCCAGGTTGGTAGTCCTCTTTACGCAACAAACAGAACAGCAGATCTGTCACTGCCATCCAAAAATCAATATTTGTAGCTAAATTCACATTATGGGGTAGACCTTTACTCACATCAGAGTACACACATACTCTGACACACCACAAAAACATGTTTATCATGGTGGAATACCACCTGACTGATGCTACATTGCAGAATTTGGAGTGTCCTGCCTTCGGTGTTTCAGCATAAGTACTCATACACTGCATTCAAATCAAGCACTTAGTACTAAGAAGTAATATTTAGTACTGATAATGACACCTGGAGCACTATGGATTATTACCATGTCTGGGATGTGCATAGTCATTCAGAGCTCAGGTATGTAAACAATAAATGTTCTATTTAATTATATTCAAATTTCCAAGTTATAAATTTGATATAACATGTTGTTTTCCAAGCACTTTAACATTTTGATTTCAGTCAGACTAAAGCAATATTTTGTCTTTTTTCCTGTCCAGTCTGACTAACTGACTAGATAATGTAATTGTAGTTCTGCTTTGTTCAGCATGTATCCATCTTATTTTTAACATACTATAAGAGCAGGCACGGCCATTTTAACTTGAATGTGCAAGGCTTCCCATGTCAGTCTCTTAAAGTTTTATTATAATTTTAGTTACAACAGTTCATCTGAGGAACATGGAGAACTTTATTACTGCTGTTACACACTTGGAAGGTTTAAACCCAAGACTAAGTCCGCTGGCTTTAATGACGAGTCTACACAAGATTGCAGACCAAAGTGACAATATCGCAAACGACTTTCTGGAATCATCTGACAACAGAGATGAAATTCACTACAAAAACAACAGCTTTACAGAGCTGCTCAATATTAACCACAATCTCTCCAATTTCTTCAAACAAGCCATTCATTATTTCATAACAGATGGTCACGAAGAGAGGGGAGTTGTTCTGACTCCTGATGGCACGACGATTGCCCTTGCTCCCCTCCTTTCAGGTCTTGAATCTGGGCTACGAGTTAATGAATACAGTAACCAGCCTCACGGTTTCTACCTACTCCCACTGGCCAAGAACTTAGGCCTGTCATTTCTGCAGTTTCGGAACACAACTCCACCTGATCAACTTGGGCCGGATGGTTGTTGGGACAGTGTATCTGCTCCTATGGTTTTTACTCTTTCAGGCGTGCCTTCATTGGCCACTGATGCTCTGGTCCATGGTGGAATGGACGGAGCCATACTTGGGAAGCACCTTTCTGTTGTTAACAGCACTGAAATAAACTTAAGCACACTACTGAGGAGCTACTACTCAGCGACTATGGAAGAGTCGGATCATGTCTCAGATACTCTTCTGAGAGGTCGCTATCGCAGACATAATTTTAAAAAGATCACAAATTCATCACTGCTTCAAAAGAAGGTAGCACATGCACTAGATGCTCTTCAACAACATGGGGACATTGGGATGGAAATTCTTATAGAAAAGGGAATTAAAGAGTTTGTGCTACGTTACATGGGTAAGTACAGGTACGTCCAGTTGACCAAATAAACTTGCCTGTTTAAACACTGGTGTTTGGTGACAATTGCCAAGCTGACAAATGTGTAACCCTCCTTCAGAGTGTCCTGCCATCATTCCTAGATGTATATGGGGAGCAGCGCCACCCCAGGTTCCTCTCGCCCCTCTGTCTCCACCCCTGCAATATCTGTATATTCACCACACACAGATTCCCAGCAAACCCTGTCTAAACCTTCAGACGTGTTCCAAAAATATGAGGGCAATGCAACATTTCCACCAGAAGGAACGGGGTTGGTACGACTTAGGCTACAGGTACCATGTGCTTCAGCATGATTCTGTCACATGTGCTCTATTCCGAAACCTAGTGTACTGCCTACAAAGGTGGCCATCCCAGTGTGAAAGCTGTTCCAAACGATTCTTTGTGAGAAAACAATCCCAGAATACATTACTATGACGTAACTTCTTTGTTAATATTGAGTGTGTCTCACTCTCTGGCGGCGTCTGAAATTGCACACTTTCTGAGTAAGTAGGGTAGACCACATACAGTTGGAACAGAGGGACAGTTGAAACACCTTAAATAACTTCAATGCACATTTTTGCTCCACACATGCATGGTAGTTTTCCACGATCAAAGAGGATCCTAATACATATGTGTGGAGCAAAAAATCACAGGTAAGAAGTGATGCGCACGCAGGTTAAGGTGTTTCAACTGTCCCTCTGTTCCAACTGTATCCAGTCTACCCTACTTTTATTGAATAAGTAATGATTTTGCGACATTTAAAAAAATTCATATAGTATGAATGTGTGAGGTATGGTAATCGAGACATAGGCCTACTACATTTGTCATTTTGCCCTTGACGTGTTTATAAATACCGTAAATCCAGACATCCAACTCATTTACATACTGTTTTACGCGTACTGCATATTCAGATGCGATAATAAACCTAGAACGGCAGATAAGCGATCCCATATTTCATTCAATACTGGAAAGTCTTAATCAGAAATAGTTTAGTGCATTTAAATATATCAATTGGATAATTTTTTTTTTTTTTATCCAATATCCAATTTTTATAATCTTTTTTTCTCTGTGTGTTCTGTTATAGCAATGTTAGCTTATCAACATGCTAATGCTAATTGTTATTGTAAGTCGAGTCTCCTCAATGCTTTAAGTGAAGAGTGCTTTTAGAATGATGACAGAGTTGCTGGCTATGTCATTTCAAAACATAAAGTTACATTTAAAGGGAAAGTTCAACCAAAAAATTTTTAATTCATTATTTACTCACCCTCATGTTGTTCTAAACCCATAAGGCTATTGTTCATCTTCGAAACACAAATGAAGATCTATTTGCTTTAATCTGAGAGCTTTCTGTCCCTCCATTGATAGCTAGGCAAGTACCACTTTGACCCTTAAAAAAGTTAGTAAAACTAATCCAAATGAATTGAGCGGTTTAGTTTTTTCGGAAGAGACGATCGCTTTATATGATAAACAAATTGAATTTAGGTTTTTATTTACTTATAAACATTCATCAACTCACACATCAGTTGTGGTAAACGGAAGCTCACATGTTCGTTTGACGCACGAGAACCAATGAGGTTCATTCTTGTGTTACGCAGCACGTTTGAGCTTCTGTAAGAGTTTTTTCTCATACGTCAAGGATGTTCGATTGAGCTTCTGTTTATGTTCACTGATCAATGTTTATATTTGAATAAAAGCCTAAATTAAATCTGTTAATCATATAAAGTGATCTTGTCTCTTCAGAAAATTTTGACTAAACCGCTCAATAAATATGGATTCATTTTACGATCTCTTAATGAACTTTTTGAAGCGTCAAAGTGGTAGTTGCGTAGCTGTTTATGGAGGGACAGAAAGCTCTCAGATTTAATCAAAAAGATCTTCATTTGTGTTCCGAAGATGAAAGAAAGTCTTACGGGTTTGGAACGACAATTTTCATTTTTGGGTGAACTCCCTTTAAGATCGGATGCTACCTTAGAAGCCAGCAACTGGTCTTGGAACAGATATAATGTTTATATAATGTAAAATGCTTAAAAGTTCTGGGTTATTTGTATGTATGATGTGTCTCTCCAAGCTTTGTGGTTGGGTCTGATGGCTACATCTACGAAGGTCGAGGTTGGATGTGGGCAGGGGCTCATACTAAGGGACGTAATACTGTTGGGTATGGTGTTGCTTTCATCGGGAGCTACAGCACTCATTTACCCTACCGTTATGACATGGAGCTTGTGCACCATCATCTGGTCAAATGTGGAGTGAGCAACGGATTCCTCCAGGAGAATTACACCATTCTGGGACATAGACAAGTAGTAGCAACTGACTGCCCAGGAGATTCCCTGTATTCTGAGATAACCACCTGGGAACACTATAAAGTATGTAGGATTCTGTACTCAAAAATGTTTAATTAACTTCAACATGTAGCCGGAAATATTTGTCATGCTATCTAACACATCAATCTGTGTCTCTGTACTATATTTTTCACAGGATACGGATCCGTTAAAGTAACAGTGTGGACATCTGCTGTCACTGACATGAAATGACTTGAAAACCCACTAATTTTAATGAAAAATACATATAATTTAAAATATAATGTCAAAGTTAAAAGGATGACACTGAAATGTAAGGTTATCTGCATAAAACATGACATTAGCATTAGTTTGTACATTGGTTGGGAGTCTGTTATTCAAAAAGCTTAAAATGCTATGTAAGTGAGAATGACGTGTGCAAAAATAAAGAGCGTGATCTCTAATGTTACATGTTGAATTTTGTATGTGGCAGTTTAAATTTAAGAAAAGGTTGAGAAGATTACTTAGTCTTTACCACGACAGGAAGTGGTTTTCATAGCAGGCCGCAGAGTGAGACAGGAAGTGCTGCTGTTGTGACAGGAAATTCAACCGTCACTGAACAAAACAAGCAGGTATTTCAGTTAAACTTCCAATCTTGCTCATATTTAATCAATCAAATCTAATCTTGATTATGTTACGCTAGAATAATTGTAAGTATTTTTACCAGTCACAGTCATACCTTTTCAAGATTAAACACTATGTATAGGCCTACAATAAGAACAAAACAAGATCACATGACAGATTATGCTTTCTTAGATTTTCATAAATAAGAAGGACATAGAATAGAACATATCAGAAATGTTGCACTTGTTAGGTCAGCCTGGGAAACATCCTAATCTCTTAGTCTTTCTTTAACCTGTGAACATAACCTGATTTCCCCACCCACAAACTGACTGGCTTCCTGAATGCTGGACGACAAGTACGCACTGAAAAAAAGGACGTATACCTACAAGAGCTGGGGACCACAAAGGACCGCATCATTTAAAACAACGAGCACCAATTTATCAAAGCCAAAAAATTATATATGGACCATATACTGTGAGTTTAAGAGTTAACCCTTCAAAAATACCTTAGTGAACAGACAGAATTTTGAACTTGATGATGCACAAAACAATCTGAGGAAGCGGCCAATAGGTGAAGTGAGTGGATGATGAGATCCGGAGCACTTGAATTTGAGGAAACCATACACTTTGAGGTACGACAAGAAAATACTTTCCATACCACACAAAACATACGAGTTCACAAAACTGGGTCACAGAGAAGAAATCTAGATGGGTACGAACAAAGAACCGAGTGCTGAGCAGTCAGAACCACAGATTGAGGAGAACATGGAACTGTCTTCTGAACAAAACAGCCCGGTTGATCAAGACCCACGGCAACCAGAGGATGGCAAGCTACTCAACACATACAAGTGGCACACGGGAGCCAAGACTGAGACGCCGGCACAGGGGGCTATCGAGAGGCTGGAGAAAGGGGCTTCAAACAAATGGAATAAAATGCAGAGTTGGCGCAAAGCTCTGAGTGAAGATGCAGGGGAAAGGTGCTCGACTGCAGCTCGAGGGGCCGAAAGCCCCTCCAAACCAGACAAGCCAGCAACTTCAAGGAAAAACCCTTTCCGCAGAGCTCTTTCAGAGCCACCAGGGTCCCTCCTATCTTCGGTCCTGTCCTCCTCTTCGACATCTGGGTCCTCCAGTGCGCAGGCATCAGGGACAACCCTCCAGGACACGACACAGAAGGGTAAAATAAGAAAGTACCTGCAAACGGTCTCACAGAAGTTTAAGAGACCGCGTATACAGAGTACTCATATTGCAGAGCATGGTAAGAGCTTTATATTCAATGCTAAATGTTCTAAAAACATAAGCTTATAAAGTTGAATCCGTTAAATGATATGAGGGTTTTTGTAGAGTTCTTAGAAAGACAACTTCTGTTGGACAGTGTAAACTTACTTTCTAACCCTGTAAATGATTGTACATGCAGATGCCACTAAATGGCGCTAAAGAATGAGGTTGCAACAACAGGATGTGCAAGATGGAGATGGAACAATAGACTACAAATTAACTAACAGAAGCGCTTAACAAGAAACTGTTTTTCTCCTTTGTACCCAAAGGATAATGACCTAAACATGTAATTGGACGTTAATGGGATTACTTATGATGGCTATCATTATTTTAACTAATTAAGCCCTGGTGATGTTGGAACTGGATTACAATTTCATAGCATGTTTTGTCTTTGAAGCTTTTAGGCCATTTAAATTGAAATGTTTCATGTTTACATTTTATGAAAAGACAAAGAAAAGGGTGAACACGAGAATGTGGTCCAAGAGCCTGTTCGGCTCTCCTGGGCCCCCCCACAAGACGTTCCAGTTTGGGACATAAGCAACTGTTTTCTTCAAGATGGACAGATCTTTATCCCACGCGAGGAGGAGGTAAAGGACAACAGACACATTCAATGATGCCAACAGATGAGACATTATTTAGCAGATTAAGATATTGGATGTACTGTATATGCCCTTAAACTGACTTTGATGTGCGAGTCCAGCTAGTTTGGAAGCGCTATTCGACTTAAGGTGAACTTGGTGCCGATATATCACTATCTTTTGAATTTATTTCAGCCTTTGATGAGGGTACGGAACCGGGCCAGCAGTTGTCTCTCCAGCGTCAGTCTCCAGAACATCAGTGGAAGTCACACTGGTCAGTATCACAGAGTTGCACTTAAATCAAATTTAAAAATGTATGAATGTCATTGCATTAGATACAACATAGCATCTGCAAAAAAATGACACTCAACCTTTTCTCAGAACCTCCATTTTCTGATCAAATTAAAATTTTAACCAACTGGTCTCAAGGTCATTTTAGAGGTTCCCCTCAAGTTCACACAGGTGTCCTCAAATATCCTACTCCTTGTCGTCTTAATTTATAACAATATATATTTTTAAATGTATCTATTGATATCATTTCAATCACTATATCTTTCATATAACATATATACCTTTCATATATCATATAATTAGTGAAATGTTTAGCTAAAAAAAAATTAAGAAAAAGTGTGCAGTGTTAATTTTTTTAGATTAAAAATATTCAAATAAATTCCACTTGGTTTATCATATCTTCATACATTTATAAGTGTGGCTTAAGGGTTCAAATACCACTATTTAAGCAACAACAACAAAAAAGTGCACAAAAGTTGTATGACTGTATCTTGTGAAGATCATTGTTGGGACTGCAGTACACTTAATTGAAGTAACAGTCTAAAGTTCTCCGTGTCCATGACCATTTAAAAGCTGGAGATGACTTCAAGAGATGAGAGGTATCATCTGTCCCTATCTAGCCAATGGCTGCCTGTCAGTGACTAAAGTGAAGCAAGATATTCACAGAGGAAATGGTTGACGTGGTTATGTTTGCGTGTGCTTGTAAAATTGCTTCCTTTGAGTTTCTGAAGATAGCATCAAAACTGGGTGTTCCATACCAGAGGATGACTGAGACTGATGGGGTGTGCTATCTAGCACTCAACATAAGCATGCAGGACCCTCATTTGAAATGTAAAAAAAAAAAAAAAAACATAAAAGGACATTTATGAGTATTGCGTTCTGAAAGGAAAATTGATTCTAAGCTACTCCCAAGCATGGGTTTCAGGCGTTGGATTGTATGTGGAGGGGCACTAGGTAAGAAAAAAAATTCAACTTTGCCTTCTTAAATGAATAAATCAAATTATTTTGCTAGAGAGAATAATGCATGTGAAATACAATCAGCATTAAAACAAATTTAAGGAGACGGCAGAATACACTCGAGTTTAAATTGGTCTTCATTTTCATTTAATTCAGTTGTTTAGCAAAGCACAAAGATATATTATGAGTACTGCTTTCAAATAGAATAGTTTATTAAATGTAATGTCTTAAGCTGTTACTCTATACATGAAGAGAGTAGACAAGATTATTAAGCAGGGTCTGACCTTTAGTACAGACCTTGATTTTTTAATATATATATACATCTTGATCTGTATTTAGTGGGAAGAAGAAAAGCCTCCAGTGGAAAAAAATTTTGAGCTTCCATAAATATCTCATAGAATTTAGATCTGGTCATTTAGAGGATCATATAAGACACCTTCTAAATTTTGACACTGTATATTGTGATGGAAGATTATAAGCCAAATCTGGTTCTGTTAAAGTTTTATATTCCATGCACGTCATACGACCTAAAGACTCCTAAAAGCCTGTTGAAGGTATCCTTCCACCGAATTTAATACCGACTGTATGTGGGAAATATGCTGAGAGATTTTGTGCTTTTAATACCAGGTTATGTATCACAATTGGTCGTGAGTGACAGATAACCCATCAACTTAAGGAAACTTAAAGCTTAATTTCTTTTGGGAGTGGTTGCTAGTTCAGTTAAATGTGTTGTAATTTTTAAGGTTGCACTTTTTCCTTTTTCCTAAGTTACTTACTTAGTGTTGCTTTGAAAATTCATGTCAACGTCCAAACTGTCAGACTTCTTTTATATAGAAGACACAAAACGTTAATAGGCTCATTCATTTTCACAGCTGCTGCTTTTGTAATTGTGATTTGTTTAAAGCATGTGAAGTTCGACCCCCATAATCGTGTATGTCCAAAAATTGGGACCACATCCTGTGCATTATACTGCTCGTCTGGTCTCCAGCTTCCATAAAGGCACATGGATGATCAAGTAATAGCTCATTTTTGACATAAAAAATTAAATAAGCCCTAGATTTCCGTTCTGTTCCGTATTAACAGAATTCAACTAACAAAGTTACATTTTCTGTTAAACTGGAAATTATTGATCTGATGCACATAAGAAGGAAGGAAATGATATGCTTCCTGTCATGGTTTCAGAATCTGCGATTGCACTGAGATTATGTCTTTCTGCAGTATTTTATCCCACTAGACTGAAATAAACAGAAAGACATACAGTACATGCACACGCAAATGTTTATTTCAATAATTGTATTATGGAACATGTTTCAAAAGAAAAGGGACAGACCTCCATCTTCAATGCTCACAACAAACAAAAGAGGAATACAGTGTCATTAAAGTGATGATCTAATATAGAATGTGTTCTCTTTCTCTCTTTAGAGCTAAATCCAGATCCTGTGGTTCCCCAAAGTGGTACCAAAATAAAAGGGCAAGATGGAGGTGTCAAAGTGAGTATACATTAGTATGTCTAAGAAATGTGTACCATCTGAAACTGTTGCTGAACAAAATGCATGCATAAATATATTGATTTTTTCCAAAATATATTGATTTTTTCCTTTTCTTTCATTCTCATGCTAGAACTTAATCAAGCGCCGCTTACAGGGTGATGATAAACGGAAAAGCAGCACACAGATCAATACTGCAGGACTAAGTGGTGCTGGAAGGTGGAGGATAATTTAAATAATACAGAAAAAATACAGATTTTTCCAAAATTCACTCTGTAGTAATGTCTAATATCAATGGGAACAAACATATTATGTGATGGTTTGATATGCTATGCCATTTACCAGTCTTTCACACTTTCTATCAAGGTACGGTTCCAGAGAATCTTTATCCATTCCAGTCAGTGCTGCAAAAAGCCTGGATCTGAATGCAGACCAGACCACCGTCATCAGGCCAGTCCACAGCTCTATTCTAGGGGAAAAGTACTGTTTTCAGGTAGGCCTTGCTGTTGAATATTGAAGTGTAAACCATGTTTAAATTTTCAGATCATCATGTCTATACACAATCCAAACAAATTACTCATTTTCTGGGTATTTCCTTGTCCAACTCACAAAAGGTCATAAACTCAGAGAATAACCACTGCTTTGGGTGCAGTTCAGCTGCAGAAAGAGACCGCTGGATTGAAGACTTGCGTCGTACTGCACATCCAAATAAGGTACCACATATTCTTCAACTTAAATGTCTATCCAAAATTGTCATTATTTGTTATTCCAACAGTATTTGTTAGAAATAATGAAAATGGTTTTACTGTCTTATACTGTCTTGTTCTTTCAGGACAACTGTGAGCGTACTGAGAACTCCCTGAGCCTTTGGGTTAATGAAGCAAAAGACCTTCCCCCAAAGAAGCGATATTATTGTGAGGTCCACCTTGATGGTACACTGTTTGCTCGTACCAGTAGCCGGGTCGTGGGGAAGTCCGTCCAACGCTCCAGTCAAGCAGTTGACGGAGGATCCGGTGCAGCTGGTACAGGCCATGGTGGTGGTGTTGCAGGAGGTTGCCAGATATTCTGGGGCGAATTTTTTGAACTTGACAACTTGCCCCCTGTCACCCAGATCACCCTGCACCTCTTTAGAGAAGAAGACTCCAAGAAGAAGCGCCATTCCAAGGATGACTCTATGCTGCATCCTCTAGGAAGTGTGGCTCTTGCTCTAGCAGACATAAAAGGACGGGCCTTTCAAGAGAAGTGGTACCCCATCGTTCCCTACAAGCCCCCAGGAACAAGTACAGCAAAGGACCAACTTGGACTTCAGGCTTCACTTCGAGTCAAGGCCAAATTTAAGAACCTGAAAATTCTGCCTATTGAGAGGTACAAGGAATTTGCTGAGTATGTCACGGTGGATTATGTGGGTATGTGCAGCAGCCTGGAACCTCTTCTTAATGTACGGGAGAAAGAAGAACTGGCAGGAGCACTTGTTCATGTGCTCCAGAGCATTGGGAAAGCTAAGGTGAGTTGCAACAGCAGTAATTGTAGGACAAGACAGATAAGCTTTTCAAATTTCTGAATGGTTTTTGTTTGTGCAGGAGTTCTTGATTGATCTTGGTAGTGCAGAAGTTCAGCGCTTGGGAGAAAATGAGGCTTTGATTTTCAGAGAGAATACACTGGCCACAAAGGCTATTGATGAATATATGAAATTGGTGGGCCAGAAGTATCTCATAGACACACTTGGTAAGGAATATTCTACTGCATCCCTTCTTATAAAACTCCATGTGTCATTTTATTTACCTCTAATCCCCTATGTAACAATCTTCACCCATAGGCGACTTTATATCCAGACTGTATAGTGGAGGGGAGAGCTGCGAGGTAGACCCACAAAAATGCTCTTCCTCTGATCTACCAATCAACCAGAGACATCTAAAGGAGACATGTGGGGATGTTGTAAAGAGAATCACTGACATGCATGAGTAAGATAAACCAAAAAGAACACACTCTACAAAATATATTTGAAAACGTATTTATTAGCGTAAGTATTTTCTGTAGAGAACACATAAGATGACCGAACTGCTGTAATATACTGTGAATAACAGTAAATAGATGTACCTTGTCCACTAAATAGGTGTCAGAAATCTTCCAATGGATAATTATTTTTAAATGATTAATTCTTTCCTTTCTATAAACAGCTCATTCCCTGCAGAGCTGAATGACATTTTTTCCAGTTGGGTATCAGATTGTGAGGATCGAGGTCTAACGGACATCGGACACCGTCTCATATCAGCATCTCTGTTTCTTCGATTCTTATGCCCAGCAATCCTCAGTCCATCACTCTTCGGCCTCACCCAACCCTATCCAGAGACAAACACCCTTCGCACTCTCACTTTGACAGCCAAGGTCATTCAAAACCTTGCAAACTGCACCTTGTGAGTCACATCTCTAAAGCCAAATTTACTGCATATTGCAAATTTATTCCCATCTTCCAGTTAACTTACATCAGGTCTTGGATTATATATCCAAAAGGAAATTAAGATTTTGAAAGATTTGTTTCATATATGATAAGCAAGAACCATTTTATCTCAATATCCACCAGGTTTGGCGAAAAGGAAGAATACATGTTTTTTATGAATGAGTTTCTAGAACAACACTGGGAGCCTATGCGAGGATTCTTACAGAAAGTATCTGATCCAGACAGTGAAATGGCCATGGCTCGATTTGATGGCTATGTAGACCTGCCCCTTCGTCTAGCGGTCCTTCACAACCTCCTGGTGGATATTATCTCTGTAATGAAACAGGTAACAAAACATCAGGTCTCATCTAAACCTTTGCTGTAATCTTTGTTCAGAACACTATGGGATTACTGACTTTTTAATAAGTTTTACATCTCATAAAACAATGTGCTCATGCAAAATTTTTTTTATATATATATATATATATTTGTAGGACCAAATAGACAACCTACAACCCTTGCCTTCAATCCTGAACCAGATCACAGAATTCCTTGATCATGATGCTCAACGGATCCCTTTTAGCAGGTACGGTTATTTTACAATGGGTGTGTCAATCAGCTCCCCAGTATCAGGGCACTGATCAGGGAGTTGGCCATTTGAAGGGCTGTCGCATTCCTTCACTGAAACGTTCACTCTCTAAAAAGTCCCACACTGCACCACAAATCACTATGTTCCCTTAACGAAAATTCTGAAGCGCAAAACATAAATCACACAAGACAAATCAACAACCATAAAGATAGATGGTTAGAGGATAGAGGTTTTGAAAAAACAAACCGTCATTTAGTTCTATTTCAGTGAAACAGATACTATACCTGCTCTGAGCGGGATTTCGGACCGGGGTCTCTGGCGTGGGAGGCGGGCGCGCTAACAAGGTACTAACAAGGTTAAGACTGCAGTAGTGAACATAATATAGCTAACATTTACGTCTGAAAAGTTAACTTAAAGAGTTTTACTTAAAGAAAAAAAATTAAAATCAGCTCTGCTGTTGCATCAACAGTGATGTTGTACAACGAAGACGTTATAGATGTCACTATCAGTGTCCCAATGTGTAGTGAGCCAGGGGCCTTACTGTCCTTAGTGCCCGAATTTGTGTACTTGATATATTGATTCACAACCTAGGTAGCTGATTGAGACACCCAAAATAAACAAAATTCGCCTAGGGCAGGGGTGTCCAACTCTGTTCCAGCTGAGTTTAATTACTCTAAACCAGCTATCCAAGGTCTTCAGATTCACCAGAAACTTCCATGCAAGTATGTTGGAGCTGGTTGGAGCTAAACTCTACAGGACATTGGCCCTCCAAGAGCAGGATTGGACACCCGCAAGGCTTAATAGAAGCTGTATCAAGCTTTAAAATCAATGTTTGTTCAAAGTACTTTTACTTTTACTTACAGCAGTCATGGAACACCAAAGCCTATATACTTACCTCCAAGGGATCTCCCCAAGTACAGTCCATTGCAAAACTCCATGCAGCAGCTTCCTGTAGACTCAAAATTCAACCAAGGCAAAGAGCGTCAGCGGAAGCAGGTGCAGCGGGCTTTCAGTGTCCCCAACAGACCATCCCGGCAGCTCAGGCAAACAGTTAAGCGGCAAGCAAGCAATGAAGAGCTACCTACGCAGTGCCCGGACCAAGCTCCCAGTTTGGAAATTACATTGCCCAGCAATGTAAGTAAGATTGGTTAAAATTTACCAGACATTTTGCCAATGATTTGCTTTAAAAAAAAATATATATATATATATATATACAGTATATATATATTATTTGATGTGTATTTTCTGTTTGTGTATAGTCCATGAAACCCAATACCGGACCAGCAAGAGTATTCTGGGAAATCAAAGATCGCAATGAGTCCCATCAAATAACAGGGCAAGGGCAAGAGCAAGAGGACACAAGCACATTAGATAGGGTGGGTCTTGTCTGCATACTCTAGAAGCAACAGGTTTGGGCCATCAAGTGTATTTGAATGCATGAACAAAAAATGTTTTACCTCTACTTTGAAGTTGATCAGAAATTACTTAGAGGAAATGGTGTAATAAAAAGTCACAGAATATTGACAAAGTTGTGGTGTGCCATAGCATGCGCAAGAGTTGGCTGAGCTGCGTTTAGGAGTGGAGCAGGTGACAGAGCGCGAGCTGGAGATGGCCAAGCGATTAGAAGACTTCATAGCTCTGAGCCAAGACCAGAATACACAGCTACAGGCAGAGGTTCAGGACCTTCGTAATCTGTTAGCCATCCGTGAGGAACAGCTGGCCAGTGCAAGTTTCAGGTAATTTTGGCTTAAAAGAAGTAAAAATTTGTTAATTTGTAAATGCAAATAGGACAACTGAGATGTTTGTACTTATGTTTGTGTAGACTGGGCGTCATAGAAGAGGAAAGGGAGGAAGACGAAAGAAAGCTGAATGTCGCTGTGGCTGCAGTTGAACGCATGAATGTTTTGGTAAGTAATGGTTTTCTCCTCTTTCTAGTTTTACAAATGCACATCGTTAATTCAGGCTTGTACTTACGTTATGGTTAAGTTAACACTTGCATTTGTGTGTCTGATTACAGGAGGAACAGTTTGCTGGGTTGTTGAAAGATGTGCACCAACTCTATGCAGTTAACGCTGATGGCATAAGAAAGACGTACATCAATACCTGATGTAACATAGAAAGTACTGGTGTGGTGCGCTAAATGATGCCCCTTTGCATTGCTAGTAGCCTTTGTCAGATTTCTTTTATTCATTGGTAACAATGCGCTTACATAGCTACCTACCTGTAACAAATAAACCAAATCTTATTATCACTGCAATAATGAAAAATTAACTGCAATCACTGCAAATTAAAAATGGGACACCTATTTGTGCATTTATTCTTTAATCCTGATCTTCTAGTCTAACATTGCGTATAGATCTGCATGAGACTTTTATCAACGGTTTTGTAGACTTTTCACAAATAAAATGTGTATTAACCAAACCAAGCAGAATCATCGCTGTTATTCTTTTAACTGTAATTGTTGTAAAAAGTAACTGCAATTAGGCCAACTCAAAGATACTGGATACCCTAAAATTTGTAAGTGACGCCTTGTTAAAGCAATATTCTGGGTTCTGCACAAGATAAACTCCTGTAACAGCATCTGTAGCATAATGTCATTGATCAATGAAACATCCCTCCATTAAGCAATACTTTTCACTACTCATTAACGCATGCTAACACTGTGGTACGCAGCGAAGGAGAGAAGAGGCCATTTTTTTAAATGGATGCAAATGGAAGAGAGGCTTTTGTGAGGAAATAGCTTATCATTTAATGAATCAACAGCCCATTGGATAATCTTCAGTATGTTTACTCTTAAACATTAATTGTTTAAGAGAAGTCACGGACAATTGCGTGACAGTTATAATTCAGTTTAAGGCACTTTCATTCATTTCTGTGGTATCCCCAAACAGTGATTGACTGTCGCACAACAAAATTCCAAGACGTCAAGCCTGTAATGTGTTTGGTTATTAAGTAACCAAAGGAACACGTAATGCAATAGTTGTTATGCTTTTTCCAATGGTAGAGCCATGGACCCTCGTATCTCCCAGTCCCAATAATAGGACCATCTCTGTCTGGACTCGCATAGCAGCTTTCATTGGCCAAGGACTCCCCAAGAGGTCATCTGACAGACATGTAAAGCAACATTTTTTTTTGATTGGTCAGTTTGTTTTGTTCAGTGTGATGTTTAGGGGCATGAAGATGTAAAGCCGATGTCCTCATAATAACAGACCAGCGTGCAAGTTAACTGCAACAGTGATCCTGTGAACGTCACATACTTTTGAAAATCCAGCATTTAGTTGATCCTGATAAGCGATCATTGCCACAGTTGTAAACATGACGGCTTTCTTCTTCCATAAGAGGGTTTGCCGTCAAGGTGGACTTTGTTTCCAGGTGGACTGTTAAAGAATGCGAACGCATGTCTCCCAGAAATCCTGGAAAATTCAACTTGTGCATCAGACGTTCAGCCTGACATCCGTAGGCATGACATCCGAGGCTGATCCAAGTATTTTTAATGCTATTTGAGCACAAGAAACAACATTTATGGGACAGTTCATCAGATTTTGATGATGATTTGAAATATGTTATTTAAATGAGTTTGGCAAGCAGGTTTTTTTTAAAGATCTCAGGATTCCTCCATTCAAGTAGATAGGACTTGGTCTTGACATTGGTCTGCCAAATGCATAAATGTCTTGGATGCCCAAAATTCCCAAAACTTCCCTTTCTCTAGCAGCAGCAACATGTTATAGAGAGGACCAGGCCTGGACTGTTTTATTTGATGTTGTGTTTTATTATATGTGACAGCAGCCGTCCGTGAGGGGCTGATGTCATTACTTTCGTTTTGTTTGGTAAAGTTGATTCATTTCGTGTATTGCTTTTATATTGTGTCTGTATTGTCTGTATGTGATGTCCCTCAATTCTGACGTGAGGGTCTTTGATGGTCTTAATGATGCCAGGATGCACATGGCAGGATTAATTAGTTATGCTCATCTCCATGATGCCAGGGTAAGGCTTGTCAAGACAAGCAAATACCTAAGTCTGAAAATACTAATGGCTAATGCTGTTTATTGATGTGATGTAAAGGGTTAGTAAGACCCTTTTATGCAACTACTGAATAATGCTCAATTAAGTGCTGCTGATATAAGTGCTCTGCAAATATATAGGCTACCATGGCCAAGGAAAACCCTGCCTTTCCTCGAAGAAAAACGAGGAAAAGCAGAAAGAGATCCCTCACTAATCCACTGGTCACAGGCAGGCGTGAGAAACGTCGGGAAACACACTGCCCTGGATCAGGTTTGTTCTTTACTAAAACATGATTACTGTATCTAAGAATAAAGATAATTCATTAAAAAGTGTTTTGGTGGTTACACGTATTCTAAAATGAGAGTCAGATACCACTTTGACAAAATGGTGTTGCAATGTTTGTGAAAAATCTTCTCACTAATATATAAGATAGTTTAAGAGCATGCAACTGATAATCCTTACTTGTGTTGTGTTTTAAGAATTTTTGCTTAGTTTCCTTGCCTCCAAGTCCTTATGGAATATTTTCATTTTGAAATGAATTGGTTTCATATTATATGGATCAAGGGTTAAGCAAAATGACTGTCTCTGCAGCTGCTTCTCAATCCAGAAGAAGGGATCCTGTGCATTGGGAAGGCCTTCAGATAGAAGATCAAGAGTTGGCAAGTCTTGGTGAGAATACTGAGTGTTACACTAACATTACACTACATTTTCCAATTTCCACCATTTATTTAATCATACTGAAGCATTGTGTTTTGTCAGTTCCACTACAGACTCACAGTATAACTAATATATATATTTATGTGTGATCATAATCATGAGTATAGCCCTTTTAAGGACAAGTGAATGTATATTTTTGTTTTTTAGAAACAAGACTCCAAAAGTTAAGGGACACCATAACTGCAGGTCAGGTTCCGGAGGGAACAGACAGAATGGTTTCTGCTTGGGAACAAAGGCAGCTTCTCACAGATCATGTGAGAATGAAAACTGCTAGGCCTATGCTTTTTGATGCAAAGCTCTCACCCGAGAGAGTATTCATCCAAAATTGTCACAGATGCTGTGCTGTAGTCTGTAGAAGCTGTGATTAGGTGCCAGAAGCACATGTCGGTGCACTTGCCCACGAGGCTATCGTGATGCGATATATGAGTATATAGTATAGTATTCTAAATAATACAAATTGCATACTTTGTCTTCAATAACAAATGTACATTATTAGATAAATAAAACTTAGCTATACTTTGTACAAAATACTATTGTATAGTATAATGTATTTTGAAAGTATACTTTAAATGCATTGTTACAATGATAATATCCAGCACACAGTTAAAACATACCTCAAATATATTTTTAATAAATACACTTAATACACAGAATTTTCACTTCAAGCATATATTTTTAGAATATATTTTAGTACAATTATTTTAAAGTGTGTAAAGTTGTATTGTGAAAATAGGTAAAAGCAAGATGCTAATACTTTTAATATATTTAAAGATTGCAATGTACTATTGAAAAGGGAATATATTTAAAATACAATAAAGTATACTTTTTTTCACTAGGGCGCCAAGATAGGCTTACTCTCCCCTAGTGAAAAACTTTTTTTATTTAGGCTACATAGGCCTACTTCTAATATTTTGGAGGCAACCAATCAATGACAGAAAAATGAAACACACTAATTTGTTTTCCGCCCAAAATATCACTAAACGTAGACACATAACGTTACGTTACATCTATGACATATTATTTAAAAAGACACGATGTTCTCATACCTCAGTAGTGTCGGTGTGTAGGAGCTCACCTGCGGTTTACCTGTACCCTCACGTTTTTTACCTATTTGTGTGACATTTAAATTTCACATTTAACATAATGATATAAAATGAATGTCAATCTACAGTACATTCGTTCTGGTCTTCAAGATTTTATATGGAAAACGCATAATATTTAGTTCTGATAGCAACCACGCCTCTGTGATTCGTCCATGTAACGTTTTCTAAATGAGGGATCGATTGATTTTGCCTAGCTCGACTGTGCTGTAGGGATTAAAGTGCCTGCTGTCCCTTGTTCCTGTTAGAGAAACCTCGCCACTTTAAGGTAATTTTAACCATTATGTGCTTCAACATTTTATTTTCAATATGGTTAGCTACGTAAAGCCGAACAGGCTTTGCACACTATAAAAATGTGTTTCGACTTGCAGTGCCTGATCAATAATCAGCTCGTGCTAGCTGCATGTGCGCGTGTTTTGTGTTAAATGGTTGGAACTGATGCATGAAATTATTCGAGATGGAAAGTTTGTTTTTGGTTTATCGTAAGCACACAGCAATAATGACTCCAGTCGTGATTAAAATAAATGATTCTGAGCAAATGTATCCAGTTAATTTAAAAACGTGACTATGAAAACGAGAGAATTCAGGTAACCAATGGTGCCTTGTCAGTGTCATAGTATGTAAACATTGCAAAAAAATCACCATGGTAGCCATAGTTCCCGCTTAAATGCAATAGTTGATACTGTAAAACCATAATAAATAAAAGTAAATGCTGCTTATTAGGAAAATCCAGAATATTTTTGTTGTTTTGGTTTATTAGGTATTTTTGTTACATTGATGGTTAATGCATCATTACTGATGTAATGTTATTAATGTAATACTTTTTATTGTAGTAATAGCTGTAGTTATTATTGCATTTTGGTAAGAACTGTTACCAGTTATTCTAACTTGTATTTTTTCAGACATTTCTACATTTTGAATTTTGCAGCTATGAAAATTATTAGTTTTTTTTTGTTTTTTGTCTATGAATAGATAAGTTGCATTCTTAGACAAGATTGGTCTTAATGTATAAGCTGCTTTTCTCTGCAAGTGCCAGGGAGAGATTCCAGCCATGGAGAAGACAGCATCAGACACGGCAAAGAAGACAACCACTGCTACCTTTTCCAAAGAGTGTCTGGAACCAGTCTTGAATAAAGACTTGGATGACTCTGATTGTAAGTAACACCAAGATACATGCCTTTTGCCCAGATTTTTGCCACATTGCTAAAAGACATAGCCAGTCAGTCTGTAGATATTGGACATAAGTTGTAGTAGTGTATGATGATCACATACTCTGATTTTTAGATTATGATTCCATATTTTTTCTGTAACCATTTACAAAGTTGTCAAGTGTATGATGCCTAGTATTTTAAAATCTGTTCAGATTTGAAAAGTCGTGTAATGTATTTCAGCCTTAACTCTAATGAATAGACAGTTTAGGATGTATTCTTTCAAGAGATAGGCTAGTTCACCCAAAAATAAAATGCTGTCTGTAT